GGTGATTCTTTTAAGTGGGTACACTAATTATCTCAAAAAGTATTTACTTTTTTCAAAATATTTTTTTACATGGTTTCAAGTTGTTAAAAAAACAACGTTTTTTATTAAAAAATTATATTTTTAAATATTATCATTTTTTTACTTTTTTGAATGACAACATAGAGTTTTAATTTCATATTCCAAAGAATAATATTTTTCTAAGTATTTTGATTCATAAAAATCGAATTTAGGACGAGTAGCTTATGAGTAGGGCTCRGAAAAATTATTTAAAAACAAAAAATTAAAACTAAGTAAAATCATTCCTTTTAATTTAGGAGACTGATCCTATGTCTGGAAGCGAGACTACCATATCACTTAACTCACAACTTAGTTTCTAACAAATTTTAATTATATGTTTAATTCTTTATTAAAGTAATTTAAATTAACATAAAAAAATTGTGATGTATTTATATACCTGAATGGCCAGTCTTGGGCCATTTTCTATAAGCCATAAAGGTATCCCAAACATAGTTAATGCTGCCGTTGAGGGCTTAGTTTGGGTACAACGTGTTCCTAGTACTGTTGCACCTAAAATTAATTTTTAAAACAGTCCATTTTAATAATTATTAAGCTTAGTCAAAATTTTAAAAATATAAAATTTAATTTTCACCAGCAGATTCTAATGCATAATCAACCATTCCTGTTTTATCAGCATCATAAATACTTARTGTAGATTTCATAGTTATGTTGACGTACTGTTCAATATAATTGACAATTGAATTCCATTCATTTTTAGAACATGCTTCTTTTGTTATAGATTCAGTACTTGTTTTTATTATGGCTAATTAAAAATAAAAAAATACATTTTAAATACCTTTAAATTTTGTTTTTATAATAAATGATTTACTTATCAGTTATATTCATAAGAAATACAAAATTTAACTAAATATTATACTCAATAGTCAATAATATTAATTATGTAATTTACCAGGTTTAGATTTGTAGTCCTCAAAGCTATTGATAAGATTTGAAACAATATTTTGTAGTTCTGAAATTTTCTTTTCCATTAATTGAATAGTTTCTTTATTGCGCCCAGCAATTTCATTCTGAACATTATTTAGTGTATTTTTTTGGTTATTTAATTGATTCTAAATAAAACAATTAAACATATGTATAAATATGTGTGTGTATACAATAAATTATTCAATTACTTTACAAGTATATACAATATAAATTTACATTGATCCAATTTAAGTTCTCAGAGTTTAGTTTTTCTAATTGGTTTTGTAATAAATATTGAAATTCTTGATCATGTAATTTTACTAAATTTGACTGCGAAATATTTAATTTGTTAATAAGTACATGTTGAAATTCTTCAGAAGCTATAATTTTTCTAGCCAACAAATTATAATCAAAAGCCAAAAATTTTTGATTTTGTATAGTAGGCATAGTATGAACTTTAGTGGCAGAGTCCATAACAGTATCAATATTACGATATACCTAGATAAAAAAAAAAACCTTTTAAATTAACTGCAAAATGTTATAATATTTAATATGCTATGAAATTATGTATTGCATACATTAAAAAATAATTGTCCAAATRATTTTAAAGCAACCATCATTGAAGCAAATGCTACTGTTACCAAATCCAATACAAAATGTGCAGTAGAAGATAACACTTGATAAACTGATGTGACCAAATTGAATATATTAATAAATGGCGATAGAAGGAAATGCGTCCAAGAATCTTTCCATATTAGAATTTCTAAAGGTTGCAAGTAGTTCAAAATGCCAACTATAAGACAAAATGTATATTATTCATCAACTTTATAAAATATTGATATTTTTTTTTAAATAAATATATAGTAAAATTTGCACCAGTTAAAAATAATATCAATGCCAAAATTAAGATGAATGGTAAATTGTTTATTCTGGTATTTCCAAAATAATGATTTATTATTTTTCGTACAGTCGTGATGATAACCAATTCATAATGCA